TTGTGGGCAAACAAAAGGAGACAAATTGAATGAAAGTGAAAAAAAAATATTATTAATATTCAAAGTAATATAGAAAAGTTTATATATTATACTTTGATAAAAAACTATTGAATTTTATAATAATAACATCTCATGCACTCGACATAGAAGCTTGTTGTTGCTTGTTATCAGTAAGTTGTCTTTTAAAGTTAAAGCAACACTCTTAGATAAGGAGAGCAAACTTAAGGATTTCTTTGTAAGAGTGTTGTCATATTTAGAAAGCTCTTCGACTTTGGCCTTAGATACTTGAAGATGTTGTTGAAGGTCAAGAATTTGTTGTTTAAGGCTTGCACACTTGGATTTTTCTTCTGTGAGAGATGTGACAGTTGCAGATTTTTCAATCATGATAGCCTCAAACCTGGATTTGTTTCAACGTTATTGGCTCGTGCAACTTCAATCTTAATCTTTTTTGTGTTCAATGTTAGTCTTTTCTTCCTTAAGGTTCTGATTTCATGAATATATTGATCACCAACCATGACTTCATCTTCAAAATTTGGTAGGGATGCTTGGATGGGATGGCTTGGATTGTGTCCAAGATCTCTTGGAGTCCTCTCTTCTTATTGGGCATCTCAGTGATCACCTCTAGAGGAATAAAGTAAATGAATTGTCAAAATCATTTACCAATTTTAGGGGATTGAGATAAAATGGAGGTGTGTATAAGAGGAACTTGTCACTGCTTTAAAGGATTCCATGTGAGTCGTCATCAAACCCAAAATACTCAATGGGTCCTTTTCAATCTCCTCTAAAAGTGCAACTTCGCTACTGCTCGATGTTTTGCACAGAGAATTGATTGATGTTAAGACAAGTTTACGTGAAGTAGTCTCTAGTAATTCAACAATGGTTGATTGGTCAAGAGATTTTGTCAAATATGAATCTAAATTAAATATAATATGATATAAGTGCTACCAAGTGATATGTGACGAATGAATTAAAACATAATATGACTAGTGTAAAATTAGAAAATTACCAAGGATAGCAATCTCGACGTTCGAATCAATAAGAAAAGGTGTTATATGTATAAAGGGGGTTTCCAATAAAAAAAATAAAAAGTAAGAAATAGGTAAAATAATAATAAATAAAATCTAATATAAAAAACATTTAGGAGTAAGAAAACAAGTACCTCGATAGGAGATGAGGTAAGAAGAGTCGACACAAAAGGTATCTCAAGTATTGAATCCAAATTACTTGAAATATTGTTAGATGTAGCCATCTAACATAAAAATGTGTTCATTAATAAGCATAATTTAGGATAAATCTAAGTATAAGAAAAAAAAAAAGTACTTTTCTCAATTTTGATTTACATTATGAAATGGAGAGAGGCACTTCATTACTATCAGAACTAGAATAAACAATAGTTACATGTTGTAAAAAGGAATCCACATCTAAATGTGCTTATTCCTACAAAGATTAAATCGAAAGTTAAGTTAACAATTTACCTAGCAAAAAAATTATTCCTTCAGGTTCAAGCAGTTGTACCTTAGGAGCAACAGTGGAAGATGGTGTTGGAAAAGGAGTTGCCTTCGATTTGGATTTTTCTAAAAGAAAAGATATATTATAACCACGAAAAACCAAATAGTAAATAAAAGAAAGGAGTTAAAAAAATCAACAATATCGGATGAGGGAGACAACCATGAACTTTTCCTTTCTTTTGGACTTAAAGGGATGGTGGTGGAGGTTTGGTGGTCGTAGTTTATTTGGTCCTGACTTCAAGATCAATGATGGAAAAATTCTTCCTCCTTCCACCAAGTAGAGTTCAGACCACCCTACACCAAGAACACAAAGTGTTATCAAAATTCTTCTCCAAGTTTCTCAAGAAACTTGACACTAGCCTTAAGTGTTTATATATGTGAAACTTCTCTAAAGTTGCAACCAAGTGTTGAACCTTGACTCTTTAAGTGTGAGGAGTGCTCCTAACCTTCAAGTGGCTCGCCCAAGGTGTGGCGTGGTCCATGATGGCTAACCTAAGGTGAATTTATGCCCTTTCTAGTCCTAATTTTACAAGAAAAGAAAGTTTGGTGGGTTGAGGTGTACATTGGTCCCATCATAAGAAAAACTCAAAAGTTCATAAAAAATTAACTTCAAATGGGACATGATAGAATTCGAGTTTTTCTTTAAGAGTGATTCGTATAAGCTCCTCCTTAATGTTTGACTCATTGAAAACAAAGTTTGCTTCAACGAATTGATGAAATTGAGATGACAAAAGGGCTTAATTGAAGCCATTAGGATGTCCTAAGTAAGAATGTTAATCCCAACTTCAACTAACTCAACATGCAACCCTGAAGTTGATGATAGGAATCTCAATCGTAACCATGGACGACCTTTGATGTTTTTTGGACCATTATCGATCTACGTGAATGGGGCAAGAAGAATATCAAAATCTCTTTTGTTTAACAAAAATTTTAGGTAAGTCTTATATTGGGTATCATTGGCTTTGAAAATCCTAGGATGTCAAGAGGCTAGTTATACACTCTCGAGTGGAAAAGGAGGTGGTCTTGGAGAGATGAAAGTTGGGGAAATAAAAACTCAAAAATTGACACCAACCATAGTTGAATAAACCATAAAGGTCTAAAAAGATTGTTGTTGATTCGATTAAACTTCAATGCATCTACAACTTCAGTGAAAGCTGCATAGATCTGAGCTAAAATTAATTTGGCTAGGCAAATGGAGGGAGAGTCCATATGTAATAAATATGCAAAATTGAAGTAGTGGTGGGAGATTTGCATTGAACAAGGGAAAACACTTGTGTGCAGAGCCAATATACCAAAAAGGCTATGTGTTCTTCAGCGATTACAATAACACTAGGATCATCGACAAAATGTTCGATTAAGAAGTGGTCATAAGTTTTGCATTCCTACCGAATTTTAGCCTTGAGCTCATCATCTAAGGGGAAAGCAGTCAAAAATTATTTCTCCGTAGTAGGTTTAAGACTTGTAATCACTGCAACACCAAGAAGAGTAAGGGCAATCGAATCACAAGGCAACTTCATTGCATTGAGGTCCTTGTTCCATAGATGGACAATGGGTAGAAACATTGACATATCAAAATGAGCTATGTTATAATGAGAAAAATGAATTAGGTCCAAAATTCCTATTTTCTTCCAATGATTATCGAATTTGGCTTCCACTATATCAAGTCATTTTAGATATGAAGGTTTTTTTTTGGGCAAGGTTAGTTTTATAAGCCTTTGAAGAAAGATTGATAAAATCAGTACATATTTCTTCTCCTTGGACAATGGTGTTTCCTTCTTTGGAGGAAGGAAAATTAGAAATTGAATCTATAGGGGAAGTGCTCAAAGGACCCCCAAAAGCATATGGAGCCCCTCCAACATATGGTATTAGTTTAGTACCTTGGTTTCACAAATTTTTTTGGATTTGTCTTCCAATATATGGTATTAGTTTGGTGAAGTTGGAAGGTATAGTAGTCGAGCCAAAACCTTGGGAAGCAAAGGAGGCTTTATAAAAAGAGGAGGTCATTGTAAAGAAGAGGTTGAGAGGCAAGGGTGAAGTGATGATTCTTAGAGAAGATTTGTAGCGAATGTGCTAGGTAAACAAAAGTGTAAAATATTAAAAAAGGTAGATCATTTTTATAAATGAATTGAAAATATGATTTCCCATAAAAAAGATTAACCTAAAAGCAATTGGACCTTAGGTTTCAATCTACATGTTACACAAATGATAAGTCCATGGATGATTATTTTAAAATGCATTTATTACGAGAATTTATATTTATGAGAGGAAACGTAAGAAATGATGAAAATAAGATAATAATTGTCTTTAAATGACTTTCTATAAAGATAAAATATAAAGTTTCCATTAAAAGAGACTAAAGGTCCTAAAAGAGTTCAAATTGTACTAAGATTCCATAATATTTTGTTATTTACCAATTTTTAAATGAATCAAAATGATAAATTGAACAAGATATCGAAGTTAAGAAAAATAATTAAAAACCAAGATGGTAAAGAGAGAAGAGAATCAAAAAATTGAAATATTGAAAGTAATAAAAAATAAGATATAGTATATACAAAAAATAAAGGATTGGATAATAGATAAAATCGGAAAATTGACGAATCAAAGTCTAAAGTAAGTAAAAACTCAAAAAGGATTGAGGCCATAGAGAGAAAGAATAAAAATCAAAGAATTGAAAAAGACATAAAAGATAAAAAAAAGATTATAAAATTGAGAAAAATACAATTACAATTTCATAAGTAGACATAAACGATTATAACACCATCCTAAGTGAACTACCCGATAAAAAGAGAAATTTATCAATAAAAAAATATCGTTTTTATTTTTATTTTTATTTTTAACAATTACAAAAAATAATAAATATAAATAAAGATAAATAAGTGAAAATAAAATAACAAATTATATTAAAAAAATTATATTCTAAAAAATGTTTTAATAATTTAGATTATTAATTTTGTATATCAATTTCTTTTCTATCCTTAATAATTTACATTTTCCATAATTTACGTAAAAATTACATTCTTTGTAAATTACATATCAATTTTCGTCTATTGTTTTTAACTATTTCAATGGATTCTCATGAAACTGTTAAATATTATCTAAATTAATACTTAAAATTCAAATTTCTATTGTTTTTAACTATTTCAATGGATTCTCATGAAATTGTTAAATATTATCTAAATTAATACTTAAAATTCAAATTTAAAATCAAGATTTTTTTTTAGTAAATCCCTAGTTAATAAATTTTAACATTCGAGGTAACGCATGAATAAAAAAACAAAATACTAAAGCACGCATGGCTCCTTAAAATAGTTTATTCAAATATAACTGACTCAGATCCACGCACCTGTGTAAATATTGAATAGATGGATCAGAAGTATATAAATTCAACTTACAGAAACATATTATTGGTTTTCAATGAATATTAGTTGGACACGTTTTCAAGTGAGAAAGAGTTCTATGGGCAAATAAAATGAATGCAAATCATTACCCACAATGTTCAATCCAGTTGATACATTGCCAAACTATATAAACATTTTGGCAGAGGTTCAGTTATCTGACCGTGCATATGTGGATGACTTTGGTGGGAAGGTAAACCCCACTCTGCTAATCTCTCCGCCTAAGAAAATTAATCTTATAATTTCCAGTTGTAGGAATACCTTGATTTCGGCCAAAAAGTAGACACAAAATTATCAGCAACAGAATCTGAAGATCAAACTTTTCCCTCAAATTTGGTGAGTTTGCGATCATGCAGAAGACTTGCCAAGGTATTTCTACAAGGTCCCTCTGAAAAAAAAATTGAAATTAGATTCTTCCATTTGAGAAAAAAGTCTGTATATCTCTCTGATGTGTTGTATTTATATATACGAGAGTACAAAAAGGGATAAAGCTCCTGCCTAAACCCTAACCCTAACCCTAAACATGGGTACATACATCAGAAATTCAAAAACAAATTATCTATATTTTAACACTTCCTTTAATTCCTTTCATAAAATCTGATTGAGTCGAGATTACTTACCTCCAAAAACAGTATGAAGATATTGAAGATCATCAACTGAACAAGCATCAATTAAAGCATAGACACCCGGTCTTAGAGCTTCTTCTACTTCCCTGCATATAATTATGCAACAATTAATATTGGTTAATGATTATGATCATCCACTCAAAATATGAGCTATAGAGAATTTATATAGATGAATTGTTCTAGGTATTTTAGAAACACGCAATAAAAGTAAGAAACAGAAAAGGGGTTCTCAAGTCTGATGGAAAAGTAAACTTCAACTGGTAAACTTTGACAAAAAGAAATGAGTAAACAACAACGAGACATATATATAACCTTCTGATGCCACTTCTCTTGGGACCATATCCAGAATAAACCCAAATGTAACTGGATAAAAAAAGAGAACATTGACGACTAAAGATATCTTTTTTCTGTTCTATCTGCATCATGAAACAAACTGGGTAAGCTGAAAGGAAATTAATTTGTCAAATTAAAGCCATAATTCATTCAAATGGATGTCACAAACCTCTTCATAAATTCTTCGAAGAAAACAAGCACATTTCAGTTCCTCTTTTGAAGAAAAGGAACCTTTATTCATTCTTGATTCATCATCTAAATCTGTCTCCAAGCAATTGAGAAGAACAGCAACAGAAGCTTCAAGATGGGCAACACACTGTTTGCATTCACTGGAAAGAACATAAAAATGCACAAGATGTGGTTACACACAGATGCTATCAAAATACATCAGATATATAGTCCATAGCAAATATGTCATCTCGATCCGTTCAATATATAGGAAGTTGTACTTTGTTAAGTGATTTAAAAGATAAAAAGAATAAAACATACCTTGGACGATGCATAATGATGGTACACAATAGTTGACAACACACAATGAAAAGGTTAAGTAAGAACTGCTGATCAACGTGACACAAATCCACTCTCTTTACTGGATCACAAATATGCTCTTCCGAAATTATCAATGCTTCTGATGGACCAGAAGCTTTAGTAACTCTAAGCTCACCGAACTTCTCAAATAGTACTGCAGGGATATGTAACATGTAACCCACATGCCATACATCCATTGGGAATTGAGAATGTTTTCTTGAAACTATAACCAGTACTTCAACACCCATGAGAATGGCTGACCCTGGATCAGGAGTATTGGCAACTGTTCCAGATGCCAAGTTATCATAAAATGTACGCAGGCTCTGTAAATGCACAACAATGTTGAAAACAGCAGATACTAAACCCTGACTGTGTTTTTTAATCATCTTCAAGCTTTTCCGACCTTTAAAAGTAGAAAAGTTGTCATTGAATAATGATATGTATGCATTGTCCTATCAGCATTTTGCATTGATTTCATAACACATGCAATAAATTAGTAGTCTCAGTTTGATAACCAAGTACTTGTAAGTTTAGGTTTGTATAAATAACAGACAGTGTTATCATTCCCAAAAAGTAATGTCAAACACATCATTATAATATATTAGTGAATATATTAACCATTATTCCCAAATGAATTTCATAAGGAAAAGTATGCAGATTTGTCTTCTGAATAAAAATTGTAAAAAAAACTGTAACAACTTTTTCGTTAAATATCAAGTGAAATTTGCAAAAAAAATTTAGAGAATCAGAAGATAGTATAGATGTAATGAACAACAACTAAAAGGATACAAAAGGATGTAATTTGCATATTTAATTAAATGATGAAATGAAATGTTAGTTCAAAATAGCTGTTATTATTTACCTGAAACAAATTCAAGAATCATCCGAAAGCAATCAATGCCACCTGCCACAACTGATAAAATTTCCCCCCCATCTTTACTTGTTTTTAAATCATAAATCACAGTACATCCTTCTTGAACACCAACTAGAGATCTCTCAATGACCTGTACAGTAGACAAAAGATGCAACTGAGATGGCCTCTCTATATATGCTTTGAATGACTTCCTCAGCCTGGTTTTAAATTCATCCAAGGCAAAGCAGTGCAATTCAGTACAAGAATAAGCTTCAACTGATCCATTATGAAGTTGCTTGTTACTTGATTGTCTTCCCTGAAAGTTTAGTGCTTCCCTTTTTCGTTGCAAAAAAATGGTCTTTCCTATTGCCCTCATGTGAATCTGTATCAATTCTGCGTAAACTTTTCTAGAGGAGGCAGGATCAGTGAAAGAAAAATAACCCGCTAATTCTCTCAAATAGCTGTGAGCACCGTCTAACAAAAGCAAAGCAGACTGTTGTGGGACCACAACCAACTCAGCAAATTCTAAAAATAGGATTTGTGAAATTTTGATGAAAGAAGGTATGAAACTAGAATGTAAGACACAATCATTCTTCTGCAAATTTAACCTCAAAAGAGATGAAAATGCAATTAGCAGGTGTCTTAGCAAAAAAGCTATTTCAGGGTGATCACCTTTTACCAAACTTCGCAACAAAGGTTTATTCAGACCCTGTGGCTCAAAGGAATCCATCTGGGCCAAAACCCTGGCAATAGAGTCTTCACCTTTTGCAATCAAAGCTCTTCCAAGATCATCAACACTTTTGGAGACATTATCAACTGCTGATAAAGTAAAGCAAGTAGCTGCAGCTTTACATTCATTTTGTGTACCAGCAGAGCTATTATCCTTAAATGAGAATATAGGTGACAAATTATCGGTACTTGACAAAGATAACTTGATGGCTGGCTCTTCAGAACACTGTGTATTGTGTGAACTTTCGGAAAGTTGATTACTCTCAACAAGAAATTTGTTTACAAAAACATCAGAAAGTTGTGCGAGAGAAGCTATACAACTATTTAGTTCAGAGGTATGCTCACTTTTCCACATCAACATTTCTTTTTCTTCCCTATCGTTAGCATCTGTTTCACTAGTGGAAGATGTGAGGCCCCACAAAACTCTACCAAAGCAACAAATTGAGGAGGACAATTTAATGATGTTTTCATAAGTAAGACCAAATCCCACATTGACATTACCAGGGGTATTGTGAATGGAAACAAGCCAGGTCTGTATATGCTCTTTCACATTCTGAGCCATAAAGGTTAAACATTTCAATGCCAGAAGCTTGGGAGAGTCCTGAGAAGATGAAAGCAAATGATTTTCTTCATGGCTAATCAAATGATTAGAGATCGCTTCACATGGCATCTCAGCTTCTTTATCAATGGAAAAAGCGTGAACAAGTTGATATTTTCCTATGCTGAACAAGATGTGTGATGTGTAATCGATTAAAGAAAACATTATAGATTGATATAGAATAACATTTTCTGCAGAGAATGCCACTTTAATCCCAACAACCACAGATAATGACTTTGAAAGCCATAAAACAGGAAATGAATTTCCAGAAACAATCGTGTTAGGTGATGATTGCATAGTCTCTACCTTCGCATAAAATCCAATTAATATATTCCATAATGCCTTCCGACAAGAGACAAATAATCTTAAGTACTCACAATAATAATCCTGGTCCACTGTACTCTGAAAATACAGCAGAGCACTGACAAGAAGTCTGCAAAATTTAAGTAGACAGAAAATCATAATGAATCATTTGTTTTACAAAATATTTTTCAGACATATTTGGAGCAAAAAACTAAAGAATGTGTGCAAGGCTTTAATATCATGGTTTTACAGATATTTGGATTTTTTTTCTGCAATAAGGGTCAAGGAATGTATCATAAACAACTTTGAAAACTTCTGTGCAAAGGGAGATGTTTATGTCTTTTTAATCCATTTACTTTCTTGTTTTTAAATATATACAAAAAATATAGAGTTGTGAAAATATTAATAGGAAAAGACTGTTAGTTAGGTAGCTATTAGATAGGTTGGCTAGATGGCTTAAATAAAGTAGGGTTGCTGTATTTTAGACAAACTAAATGGTGATCAAGAAGTGAAGTTCACTGTTTCTCTGGTCTCTATTTCTCTTCTCTGTCACTCCTCTCTATTCTGTTATTCTTCTCTCTTCCCCTCTTTCTTTCTGTTTCTTTCTCCATCCCTCCAAAACTCTAGATCATATAGCTGCACTCGTTTCACTTCCTTTAGGCTCTTATACCCAAAGTAAAATTATATACAAACAGTGATAAATCGAGTTTGGAAGTGCTACTAGAATAGAAGCAACTGACCAAAGTGAGAAGACTCTCCGTGACCTACACATGTACGTTAATTGTAAAGGCGAAGGATTGCGTATGGAATTGGGACAGGAGAGAAGATAAAATTAATCAAGAATCACTATAGTAGTTAGTCAATTAGCTAGTTATAGAGGGTTATTTAGATAAAGAAATAGGAGGATGTAAGGGGAAACACAAATTCAGAATTGTTAGCATTTGGGAATTGAACAAGTACTCAGTTATGAAAGGGAAACACCGCTTCCAGAATAATATTGTTCCTGGTTCTGTTCATTTTCAATCAAGATATAAAATCTTCCATTTCTTTTGTTTATTTTATATTCCAGGTTCCTATCAAATTGGTAATAGATTGTGTTAATAGCCAGGGAATGTTTGCTAATAAGACTTTTGAGCTCTTTAGTACTCTGTTATCCTTTAGTTTCTGCCTTTCATGGAATACCCTGTTAGAATTATTATTAGTTAGTTGTTAGTGGTTGGTGGTTGTTTTAAATGTTGTAATCCTCTCTCTCTCTCTCTCTCTCTCTCTCTCTCTCTCTCTCTCTATCTATCTATATATATATATATATATATATATATATATATATATATATAAGATCACAAAGTGGAGTAATGAATCTCACAAAATTAGAAATCTTCTTTTCACTCTCTTAACTTGGTACCAGAGCAGGTTGGTCCTGCTCTGCCTGTCCGGCCACCGGCCGACCATTTCCGGTCACCGTCCGGCCACTTTCCAGTCACTTTTCGACAACCGTCAGTCCCCCGTCCAGTCACCTTTTTTTTGTTGTCGTCCGACGACTTTCCGACCACATTCCAGTAACCTTCCGTCTATCTTGGGTGTTCTCTTTCTTACAGGTTCCATTGTCTCCATCTTACATCTACATTATTTAAAACATGTCGTCAAGGCCCACAACCTCCTTTTCCGGAACTCCAACGATAACGGCTGAGAAATTAAATGGAAAAAATTACATGTCTTGGTCCTCTTCAGTGGAACTTTGGTTCCTTGGACAAGAGTTTCACGATCATCTAGAAGAAGACGGAAGTAAGATACCAGAAGATCAGGCTCACCAATGGAAAAAACTTGATTATCAACTCTTTGCTCTACTGTGGCAATCAGTAGAACCAAATATTTTGAACACTCTCATATCCTTCAAAACATGTAACTCTTTATGGAAAAAAGCTCAGAATATCTTCGCAAATGATATCCAACGCCTCTATGATTTCGCTAATCGATTAGCCTCTCTCAAGTAGCTGAAGCTCAATCAGCAATTGAAGAATTAAAGATGTTCCTAGAGGTGGATTCGTTAGAGGAGATAAAGCAAAAGTTGGATAAATTCTATATGGTTATGACTCTCCGGGCTATGAATTCAGAATTTGATCATGTTAGAGATCAAATTTTAACTGGACAAGAAGTTCCTTCTATGGAAAGTTTGACTACAAGACTGCTTCGTGTTCCAACTCTCAAAGGAAAAAATAATCAAGAACTTGTTGAATCTTCTGCTATGATTTCTACCTGTGGAAGAGGAAGTCGCGGCACTAAAGGAGGACGTGGAGGTAGAGGACGTCCTCAGTGCACTCATTGCAAGAGAATGGGTCATACAGTAGAAAATTGCTACTCTTTGCACGGTTTTCCTGATAAAACTGTCAATTTTTCCAAATCTGAAATGATTCAACCCAAGTTCTCTCACAAAGAATATCAGGAATATTTGAGGTTGAAATCCAGTAATATAGCACAGTCATCAACAACCCCAAATTCATCAACAGCTTGCATTTCACAATCTGTGGAAAGTCAAAATCCATGGATTATTGACTCAGGTGCTTCTTATCACATGACTGGTAATGTCTCTTTGTTCTCTTCTCTCTCATTTCCTAAAACTCCTCATCTCATAACCTTAGCCAACGGATCTAAAGTAGCCTCTAAAGGAACTGGTCAAGTCTCCATTTCTCCGTCTTTAAACTTAAAATTTGTTCTTTTTGTTCCTTCATGTCCCTTCAGTCTCATTTCCCTAACTCATTTAACCAAATTATTGAATTGTTTAGTAACCTTTAATGTCAACTCTTTTGTTATACAGGAACGTGGTACGGGTCGACAGATTGGCGAAAAACATAAATCTGGAGGCTTACTACCTTGGGACTAAATCATCTGTATCTTGTGTTGCATCCTTGTCTCCAAAACTATTACACGAACGGTTAGGGCACCCTCACTTATCAAGATTAAAAAAAATGATTCCTGAACTTCAGACTCTTCAAGATTTTGAATGTGAATCATGTCAACTAGAGAAACATACTAGGTCCTCTTTTCCTAAACGTTCTGAATCTAGATGTGACTCTGTCTTTTCTCTTGTTCATTCTGATATTTGGGGTCCTAGTCGTGTCTCATCCTTTGGCTATAGATATTTTGTTACCTTCATTGATGAGTTTTCTAGGTGTACTTGGATTTATCTAATGAAAGACCGTTCTGAATTATTACCTATCTTTATTAAGTCTTTCCTTAACGAAATCAAAAATCAATTTGGAAAAGTAATCAAAGTTTTACGAAGTGATAATGCCAAAGAATACTTTTCTACTGATTTCTCCACTCTCTTAAGCTCCCAAGGCATTTTACACCAGTCTACTTGTCCTCACACACCACAACAAAATGGTATAGCAGAACGAAAAAATAGACATTTGGATAAAACTGCTCGTACCTTATTACTTGGTGGAAAAATGTCCGTTCATCATTGGGGAGATGCTATTCTTACAAAATGTCATCTTCTTCTCTTAACAATAAAGTTCCACACTCTATTCTATTGCCAAAGGACCCACTCTTTCATGTTTCTCCTCGTGTATTTGGTTGCGTATGTTTTGTTCATGATATGTCTCAAGGTTTAGATAAACTATTAGCTAGAGCCATCAAATGTGTCTTCTTGGGATATTATCGTCTTCAAAAAGGATATCGATGTTATTCTCCTGAAACCAAGAGGTACTACATGTCTGCTAATGTCACTTTTTTTGAGTCAACTCTCTTCTTCCCTTCTTCTATGCAGGATATTAGTTCGGTCCAAAATGTCCTACCTATATCCTTAGTGGAGCCATTTGTACCTCCTCCTCCTGACACCCAAAATTCCACACAAAATGCACCGGAATCCTCATCACTGCCTCTTATTACCTATCAACACAGGAGCCAAATGATCAGTCCCATGTCCTAAGATGAGTCTTCCTCAGCAGATCCTTCTCAATCATCCTTTGATACCACGATTCCTGATAATGATGACTCAAGTTGGCCCATTGTCATTCGCAAAGGTACTTGCTCTACTCGTAATCCACATCCCATTTACAATTTTCTTAATTACCATAGATTGTCCCCTTCCTATTTTTCTTTTGTTTCTTCTGTATCCACTATTACTATTCCAAAAAATGTGAAAGAGGCACTTGATCATCCTGGATGGCGACAAGCCATGATTGATGAAATGCAGGCTCTTGAGCACAATGGTACATGGAACTTAATTCCTCTTCCACATGGGAAGAAGACTGTTGGTTGTCGTTGGATCTATGCCATTAAAGTTGGACCAAAAGGTGAAGTTAATCGACTCAAAGCTAGATTAGTAGCAAAAGGCTATACTCAGATCTATGGCCTTGACTACAGTGATACTTTTTCTCCTGTGGCCAAAATGACTACTGTTCGACTTTTCTTTGCTATGGCAGTTATCCGTCATTGGCCTCTTCATCAGTTAGATATCAAGAATGCGTTCTTGCATGGTGATCTTGAGGAGGAAATTTATATAGAGCAACCTCCAGATTTTGTTGCTCAAGGGGAGTCTAGTTTGGTTTGTAAGTTACATCGTTCTCTCTATGGTCTCAAACAATCTCCACGTGCTTGGTTTGGAAAGTTTAGTCACATTGTTCAAAGTTTTGGATTAAAACGAAGTGAAGCAGATCATTCTGTTTTTTATTATATTGTTTTAGGAAAATGTGTTTATTTAATTATATATGTAGATGATATAGTCATTACAGGGGATGATGTTGATAAAATTTCTTTGTTAAAGAAACATTTATGCAATCACTTCCAAACTAAGGATCTTGGTTGTCTCAAATAGTTTATAGGGATTGAAGTGGCTCAATCAAAAGAAGGCATCATAGTCTCCCAAAGAAAATATGCTTTAGATATCTTGAAAGAAACAGGCATGATTGATTGTAGATCAGTAAACAGCCATATGGATCTGTTATAATTATTATTAGTTAGTGGTTAGTGGTTAGTAGTTAGTAGTTGGTGGTTGGTGGTTGTTAGTAGTTGGTAGTTGTTTTAAATGTTGTAATCTTATATATATATATGAGATCATAGAGTGGAGTAAGCATCCCACAAAATTAGAAATCTTCTTTTCATTCTCTTTACTCTCTTAACTTGGTATCAGAGCAGGTTGATCCTGCTCTGCCTGTCCGGCCACCGTCCGGCCACAATCCGGCCACTGTCCGACCATTTTCCGGTCATCGTCCGGTCATTTTTCGATCACCGTCAATCACCTTTTCTTTTGCTGTCGTTCGACGACTTTTCGACCAACTTCCAGTAACCTTTCGACTATCTTGGGTGTTCTCTTTCTTACAGGTTCCATTGTCTCCATCTTACATCTATATTATTTAAAACATGTCGTCAGGGCCCACAACCTCTTTTTCCGGAACTCCCACGATAACGGCTGAAAAATTAAATGGAAATAATTACATGTCTTGGTCCTCTTCAGTGGAACTTTTGTTCCTTGGACAAGAGTTTCATGATCATCTAGAAGAAGACGGAAGTAAGATACCAGAAGATCAGGCTCAACAATGGAAAAAGCTTGATTATCAACTCTGTGCTCTACTGTAGCAATCAGTAGAACCAAATATTTTGAACACTCTCAGATCCTTCAAAACATGTAACTCTTTCTGGAAAAAAGCTCAGAATATCTTCGCAAATGATATCCAACGCCTCTATGATTCCGCTAATCGATTAGCCTCTCTCAAGCAAGTGGATAAAGATATGATGACCTTTATTGCTGAAGCTCAATCAGCAGTTGAAGAATTAAAGATGTTCCTAAAGGTGGATTCGTTAGAGATAAAGCAAAAGTTGGATAAATTCTATATGGTTATGACTCTCCGAGCTATGAATTCAGAATTTGATCATGTTAGAGATCAAATTTTAACTGGACAAGAAGTTCCTTCTATGGAAAGTTTGACTACAAGACTGCTTCGTGTTCCAACTCTCAAAGAAAAAAATAATCAAGAACTTGTTGAATCTTCCGCTATGATTTCTACCCATGGAAGAGGAAGTCGCGGCACTAGAGGAGAACGTGGAGGTAGAGGACGTCCTCAATGCACTCATTGCAAGAGAATGGGTCATACAGTGGAAAATTGCTACTCTTTGCACGATTTTCCTGATAAAACTGTCAATTTTTCCAAATCTGAAATGGTTGAACCCAAGTTCTCTCACGAAGAATATCAGGAATATTTGAGGTTGAAATCCAGTAATCTAGCACAGTCATCAACAACCCCAAATTCATCAACAGCTTGCATTTCACAATCTGTGGAAAGTCAAAATCCATGGATAATTGACTCAGGTGCTTCTGATCACATGTCTGGTAATACCTCTTTGTTCTCTTCTCTCTCATTTCCTAAAACTCCTCATCTCATAACCTTAGCCAACGGATCTAAAGTAGCCTCTAAAGGAACTGGTCAAGTTCTTTTTGTTCCTTCATGTCCCTTCAGTCTCATTTCCCTAAGTCAATTAACCAAATTATTGAATTGTTCAGTAACCTTTAATGCCAACTCTTTTGTTATACAGGAATGTGGTACGGGTCGACAGATTGGCGAAGGACATGAATCTGGAGGCTTATACTACCTTGGGACTAAATCATTTGTATCTTGTGTTGCATCCTTGTCTCCAAAACTATTACACGAACGGTTAGGGCACCCTCACTTATCAAGATTAAAAAAAATGGTTCCTGAACTTCAGACTCTTCAAGATTTTGAATGTGAATCATGTCAACTAGGGAAACATACTAGGTCCTCTTTTCCTAAACGTTCTGAATCTAGACGTGACTCTGTCTTTTCTCTTGTTCATTCTGATATTCGGGGTCCTAGTCGTGTCTCATCCTTTGGCTATAGATATTTTGTTACCTTCATTGATGAGTTTTCTAGGTGTACTTGGATTTATCTAATGAAAGACCGTTCTGAATTATTACCTATCTTTAAGTCTTTCCTTAACGAAATCAAAAATCAATTTGGAAAAGTAATCAAAGTTTTACGAAGTGATAATGCCAAAGAATACTTTTCTACTGATTTCTCTACTCTCTTAAGCTCCCAAGGCATTTTACACCAGTCTACTTGTCCTCACACACCACAACAAAATAGTATAGCAGAACGAAAAAATAGACATTTGGTTGAAACTGCTCATACCTTATTACTTGGTGGAAATATGTCCGTTCATCATTGGGGAGATGTTATTCTTACAACATGTTTTCTTATTAACAGAATGTCATCTTCTTCTCTTAACGATAAAGTTCCACACTTTATTCTATTGCCAAAGGACCCACTCTTTCATGTTTCTCCTCGTGTATTTGGTTGCGTATGTTTTGTTCATGATATGTCTCCAGGATTAGATAAACTATCAGCTAGAGCCATCAAATGTGTCTTCTTAGGATATTCTCGTCTTCAAAAAGGATATCGATGTTATTCTCCTGAAACCAAGAGGTACTACATGTCTGCTAATATCACTTTTTTTGAGTCAACTCCCTTCTTCCCTTCTTCTATGCAGGATATTAGTTCGGTCCAAAATGTCCTACCTATACCCTTAGTGGAGCCATTTGTACCTCCTCCTAACACCCAAAATTCCACACAAAATACACTGGAATCCTCATCACTGCCTCTTATTACCTATCAACACAGGAGCCAAATGATCAGTCCCATGTCCCAAGATGAGTCTTCCTCAGCAGATCCTTCTCAATCATCCCCTAAAATCACGATTCCTAATAATGATGACTCAAGTTGGCCCATTGTCATTCGCAAAGGTACTCGCTCTACTCGTAATCCACATCCCATTTACAATTTTCTTAGCTACCATAGATTGTCTCCTTCCTATTTTTCTTTTGTTTCTTCTGTATCCACTATTACTATTCCAAAAAATGTGAAAGAGGCACTTGATCATCCTGGATGGCGACAAGCCATGATTGATGAAATGCAGGCTCTTGAGCACAATGGTACATGGAACTTAATTCCTCTTCCACATGGGAAGAAGACTGTTGGTTGTCGTTGGATCTATGCCATTAAAGTTGGACCAAAAGGTGAAGTTGATCGACTCAAAGCTAGATTAGTAGCAAAATGCTATACTCAGGTCTATGGCCTTGACTACAGTGATACTTTTTCTCCTGTGGCCAAAATGACTACTGTTCGACTTTTCTTTGTTATGGCAGCTATCCGTCATTGGCCTCTTCATCAGTTAGATATCAAGAATGCGTTCTTGCATGGTGATCTTGAGGAAATTTATATGGAGCAACCTCCTGGTTTTGTTGCTCAGGGGGAGTCTAGTTTGGTTTGTAAGTTACATCGTTCTCTCTATGGTCTCAAACAATCTCCACGTGCTTGGTTTGGAAAGTTTAGTCACATTGTTCAAAGTTTTGGATTAAAACGAAGTGAAGCAGATCATTCTGTTTTTTATTATATTGCTTCAGGAAAATGTGTTTATTTAATTGTATATGTAGATGATATAGTCATTACAGGGGATGATGTTGATAAAATTTCTTTGCTAAAGAAACATTTATGCAATCACTTCCAAACTAAGGATCTTGGTTGTCTCAAATACTTTCTAGGGATTGAAGTGGCTCAATCAAAAGAAGGCATCGTAGTCTCCCAAAGAAAGTATGCTTTAGATATCCTGAAAGAAACAGGCATGATTGATTGTAGACCAGTAAACAGCCCTATGGATCCAAATCAGAAATTAATGGCGGATCAAGGTGAACCGCTCTCTGATCCTGAGAGATATAGAAGACTTGTTGGGAAACTCATTTATCTCACCATTACCAGACCTGACCTATCTTTTATCGTTGGAGTTGTGAGTCAATTTATACTAATCATTGGAATGCTGTTGTTCACATCCTAAAATATCTCAAAAAAGCTCCAGGAAAAGGTCTGTTGTATGAAGATAAAGGGGGTACCCAAATATCTGGGTATTGTGATGCTGATTGGGCTGGATCCCCTATGGACAGACGCTCCACTACAGGATATTGTGTTCTCATTGGAGGCAATATTATTTCTTGAAAAAGTAAGAAACAAAATGTAGTGGCCCGGTCTAGTGCTGAAGCTGAATATAGAGCAATGGCATCTCTCACTTGTGAACTAGTGTGGGTGAAACAATTCCTTCAAGAACTGAAATTTTGTGAGATCCAACAGATGAAGATGTATTGTGACAATCAAGCAGCTCTCCACATTGCCTCTAATCCGGTGTTCCATGAAAGGACCAAACATATAGAACTTGATTGTCATTTTATTCGTGAAAAATTGTTGTCTAAAGAAATTTGCACTGAATTTGTCGGGTCCAATGATCAACTTGCAGATGTGTTGACAAAGTCTTTAAGAGGACCTCGAATTGAATTTATTTGTTTCAAGCTTGACACATACAATTTATATGCTCCAGCTTGAGGGGGAGTGTTAGAATTATTATTAGTTAGTTGTTAGTGGTTAGTGGTTAGTGGTTAGTAGTTAGTAGTTGGTGGTTGGTGGTTGTTAGTAGTTGGTGGTTGTTAGTAGTTGGTGGTTGTTGTTTTAAATGTTGTAATCCTATATATATATGAGATCATAGAATGGAGTAATGAATCCCACAAAATTAGAAATCTTCTTTTCACTCTCTTTACTCTCTTAACTTACCCTACCTCAACATTAGTTGAAATGTTTCTCTTCTCTATAATACATACAAGATCTTTTTTCTATCAGCATGCAGACAAAAAACCATAAGGTAGTATCCAACAAAGAGATGAGTGTACCGTTCAAGGTTGAAAATACAAGTCACAATATATGAAAATGATCTTGAATTTACATCTCGCATCCAACATAGTAGATCAAGTAAATGGTGGCAATCTCTAAAAATTTTGTCTGTGACAGGGTAAGTCTTTTCTTTTCTGCTGATATCCCCAGGAAGTTTATCGCGTGAATGAGTGGTTGAACTTTCTACTGCAGAACAATCAATCAGAATCTCATTATTTTCATTAATAAGCACGGTTGAGTTGTCAAGGGCACTTAAAAACTCAAGCCAATTGGGCAATGACCGAAGATTGACATCAGCATATGGAATATCACTGAATAATGGCAGCACACATTTCTCTAAAGCATGGCAGAACATTGAGGCCAGATTCCTGTGGGCAAACTAAAACAACAATATGAAATGAATACCTATAGATGTAACTTTATGTTTCTCAAAATATCACACCAGAGCATTAAACAAGAAACAAATTAAATATCTCTAAAGAAAGCTAAAACAAACACTGGCAAAGATTAATATGCAATTACTTATTAGTTTACTTACAGGTGTGGGTGTGTGTGGGAGGGTAAAAATGACGAGTATGACCAACCAAAGGAGGATTTACCTTCTGTTCATACAAAAGCGAATCATTTAGAAGTTCTGATGATATTTGTGACAAAGTGACCCTCTTGAGCAGCGTAAATTTGCCAATTTCTTGCATACTTGGCTCTTGAAAACTACTTGTTACACTAAGGTAACTATGGAGTAAATGTGAGTAGAACTTTTTCAATTGCTTCTTCGAAGCATGGTTGCCCCATACATCAACATTTTTGCAAAGGCTCGACCAAATGAGTGTTGGCAATGACTTTCTGTTAGCAACATAAACTCCTAGATCCCATCGGTTGCTTTGAGTAGCCACAGAAACTACATCTTCACACATTACGTGATCAGAAACAAAGATAGGGGATTGAAACACACATGATAAATTTTCCATAATAAAATTAGTAAGTCCATCAGCCTCTTCCTTTAGTGTGTTGATTTGGGATCTATATGGCTTCTCCAAATATTGCTTCTTCTGCATATATTTGAACAATACAATCTGCTTATTCAAGTCAACAAGCCTTCGAAGAGCCATAGATTGAAATATATAGATCAAAGGGGAAGAATCATTTGAGACATGTTTAAGATATATGTCAGATATAAATTGCATTACAACAAGGAGGGAACTAGAGGGTTGAACAATCCAAGAAAAAAAACCAAAGTCTATCTCATCAATCCTCTCCATCAAGTCACAGGCAGAATATACTGTATAATCCCCCACCTCCACAAACTTCTTCTTGGGCAAATCAGGATGCGTAATGCTTGCTTTCCTATACAAGCTTTGGCAGGACACATACAACTGAAAGAAAAACACAAGGACCCATTGGCTGGACCTAACAAATTTCTTTAAAATTTTTCCCTTTCTAACCACATGATCAACAGTTTCTCCTATGACAGAAGAAAAAAACTTGCAGATTGTATCTTGCCGTTGTCCAACTAGAATACTCAAGTAGGGACGCATTAATTCCATAAGTTCTTTTACAGAAACTCCAACAAGATTGCGGTTGCCATCCGTGACAGTCACCGAGCCAAGAACTAAACAATACAGTCTAGACAGCCCTCTACCCAACAGTTCCACTTGCAGATTAAAAATTTCCAATTTCTTTCCGTCAACCAATGGACAGAAATCTTTCATCCACTTGATAGATTCTGAAATATCAGCTGTTATCTGTCTAATACACACACACACTTGCCCTTCTGGTGTAGATTCAATAGCTTTATAAACGGCATGAATGAACTTCTGTGAAGATAACAGCCTTTCAACTGCTTCAGCATGAACTTCTTTAGACAGAAATGTCAAGAACCTCGAAGCACTTTCTTCAGTATTACCCTCATGACATATAATAAGCCTTATCGCTTTGCACAATGCTAAAATAGCAATTTCCACCTACATCATTTCAAACATGTAAAGACAAGCCTGATTTCCATCTCAAAGTTTTCGGGGATAATAAGAAGCAGGCAAATACAACATAACCTGAATTAAACCAAGAAAACAACAATTTGTTAAAGATTTCTCCTCACCCAAACATCCCCTATTCCAAACATCATACCTAGAATTACACCAAGTGACTAAGCAGAACCCATGCAAAGCAGAACCCATGCAAAACCTATAAAGACATAACGTGCTCTACTGAGGTATGGGGAGAGAACATCTAAAATATAAATGACCAGTAATAAGAATTTTGATGCAAACCTGGCGAAGTTGACTGTAGAGATGAATTGTTTGGCACTCCAGGGCAAGTATATTAGAAGGTAATGAGCAATTATCAAAAGCATTCCCCAAATTGTAATTGATGGCAGAGCATGACAACATAAGAAGCCATAAATTTACCAAATCTTCTCCAATAACCTCATATTCAATTTGCAAAAGATATCCCATAGCAACTAGAATTTCATTAGCAGGCAAACTATATATCTCCATCTTGTTAGTTGTATCATAGTTGGAGAAGTGAAGTACACTAGTAGAACTAGTGATCAGTGTATTAAATATTTTCTTCAAGAAATTAAGACAAGCTCCTCCAGATGTGTCTTCTGTTCTCAAATAAACTTTCTCTTGCATAAAACTAGCAAGCAAATTACCAACAGACTTCAGCAAACCATGAAGATTCAACAACAGGGAATTGTCATCTACTTCAACTTGAATATTGGCATTAATCTTCAGCAAGAGGGGTTCCATAATCAGTACAAAAAAATTAAAAAGTGATTTTTGCATGTCTGCAAAAATATTATTTGAGTTACAATGTTTTCCCGGCACTGGTTGCCTTGAATTATCTATTTTCTCCATTGTCTTGAGCCCTTCATCCAGTTTGAATTTTCTTGCTGAATTAACATATAAACGAAATAACAAGCCTAAGCTACCCATTGCCATAGCATTCTTCCCAGCTATAATTCTGTTCAATACTTCAAATAAATGTCTAGTATAACTCTTAATGGTTGCTTTTGAGTCATTTGATTTATCATCACATGCAGTAACATCATTTTCTGAACCATGTAAACTTAAAAACTCAGGAATATGCACTTGATGAAAAAGTCCATGAGAAAGAACTTCTTCCACTGCCTCTATTAATCTTGATGTCCAAATGTGATTACTTCCAGTAACCCGAAGATGCAACTCACTTGATAAATGCAACAGCGGCTCAAGAAGTTTATCCACAAAATTATGAAACCCCTTCTTAGCTCGATGGACACTCAACTTTGCGAATGGCTGTAGCACCAACCACAGAAAGCGTAGTGCAAAAGCACCAAAATTGCCTTCACCAAGATTATTGCTATAAGTTTTCAGCACAATATCAAGCAACAACTTGGCTGTCTCAACCCACAAATCCAAGTTTTTATTTGACAACCCACCATGTGACAATAATACCAACGAAACACAGTCAAGAGTGGTATCATACAGTTTATACCTTTCATCAGATATAAGAACTTCTCCTGAACAAATAGAGGTGTCTTCTAGCAGTGACAGAACATCTCTAGCAACAAACTGAACAGTTTGTAGGAGGTTCCGGGGCATACTCCAAGAACCATGAAACTTCAAAGACTCCAACAAGCAGAACTTGAATATCTCCCAACAACGAATATCCATATATGCCTCAATTCCCTCGAGCTGTGGTGTCTTTCCGTCGCCCCAGTTTTTCTTCCCATTTGGAGGGAATAGCAATGTCACGATCCAATCATGAAGGTAACATATTAGCCTTGGAAGTTTTATGGTATTACAATCCTGACAAGAGCCAACACCATTATCCACTCTTGACCGCACAAAATTGAATGCCTGATTGACCTTACTGCACTAGCACACAATCAATGTAAAAAATAAAAGACAAAAAAACTGTATCAGTGCCAATTTGAATAGCTAAAAGAAATAGGAAAAAACAGATTAAAATATTGCTGAAGATGACTTGATATTGTTAATATTTTTTAATTGTCACATCCTCCTCATGCACACACGCATTGTTCAAAGGATTGAATTCGAACATTTGTATCATGATACGGAATGAAAAATATGATTACAGAAAAGAAAGTAACCTGGAAAGATCATGGTCTTTGTCTTGGATGCAGAGTATGAGTTGAAGGTTGTTCCAGGGACTGTGACGTTTCGGAGCAGTATCCAAACGGTGCCGTTTGGAAGATATTTGAGGTTGGGAGTCGCATCTGTGCTTTCGCTTACGATTTTGCGTCTTTGCATTAGCTTTCAAACCGGCCATAGTCGAGTTTTCTTCCGAATCGGAAGGCTTCTGAAGTAGGGTGGTAGTAAACCCTAAAATTTATTCTGCGAAGGGTTTAAGCTCTCATTATCTAATCAAATATTTTAATATATAGATAAATATAAATATAACATACAAATGTTTATTTTGTATAATTTAAATTTATAATTTATAATGATATTTAAGTATTGATAAATATGTTACTTATATTATAACTAAAAGTATAATCAATATTTTTAATATAGAAATTTTAACTTAAATTTACGATAAATAATTTGTAATTTGTATTGTTACATAATTTTAGTTTTAATTAGTAATAATTTCTTTTAAACATTATTAAAATTAAGAATAGTAAAATATATCATGATGAAAGAGATCAACTGAAAACTCTATAGAATGCTTTTAAAAGAGAAAAGTGTACATTGTAGTTAAATTAAGGTCAAATTCTACTTTAATTTTAATTCATTTATTTAATTTTATCTTTTAACTCTAAAAAAATTCAATTTCATCGGTTGTTTATAAAACAGTTCGTTTTTATTATTTTCATTATTTATATATATATATAGAAATGATTTTCACATTGATAATATTCAAAAAAATAATGTGTTATATATTATAATTGCTTTTTATTAAAATTAAATTATATCTAGTTAATTATATTGTACCTATTTAATTGTTTTAATATAAGAATAATATATTTTTATATTATCATCATCTAATAAGTTTTATTAAAATATTTAACGGTCTTATGATAAAAAATCAAGTTCTTTATTTAATATAAATTTAAATATATTTTTTATTGAAGATAATCATCCAATAACTAGTTAACATAATCTTTTAGATTGATTGATGAACTAAGTCAAATATTTTTTTGGAGTAAATAAAACAAATATGTATTATGTATCTTATGTATTCAAAATATATATGTATTTATAGGATGAAATAATATATTATTAATAAATAATAAAAAAATATAAAATAATAAAAAAAGATGAAATGGTGAGAGGATAAAATTGTAAATGTATAAATAAATATATTAAATAATCATTAAGTTTGAGGGGACAAAATCATAAATTATATGAGAGTTAAGAGTGATGAGATGATAAAATTATAAATATACAAGTAAATATATTAAATGATTATTAAATTTGGGGATAAAAATCATAAATTACATAAAAATTATAAAACTTGGAGGGTCACAATCTTCTTCAGCTCCTAAGAAAATTCACTAAATTTAAATTACGTAAAAACTCATATAAAATTTATCTATTTATGTATTTAAAAAGCTTAAATACGTCAAAATTTGTACCAGCTTAGTCTTCAAATAACCTTAAATATTTTAACAACTTTTTCATTTAGAAATTTATAATAGATATGTCTCCATGCAAAAAACAATATAATAAAAAAAATGTTATCATATAAATTATGCTCAAACATCTTCTAATATTTTCAAGTTTTCTTAATTTTGTTACGAGAAATAGAAGTTGTTTTGTGATAGAAGTTTGATTACTAAAAAGAAATTATTATTGTATTACTAAATTATTGGATGCAATAAAAAATGGGAATTCTTTTTTGAACAACTCTGTAAAAATTGATGAGTCGTTTTTAGAGTTGTATGAAAAGTATTCGATGGAATCGATGCGGATCTTCTTGGGAGTTGAGGGGGCCCATGACCTCCAAAGTTTTAGTAGCTCCATGTAATTTATGATTTTGGCCCCCTCAAATATAATGAATATTTAATATATTTACAATTTTATCCTCTTAGCCCCTCCTCAGTTTTGTAACTCTCATATAATTTATGATTTTGTTCCTCTCAAACTTAATGATCATTTAATATATTTAAGTATATATTTAGAATTTTATCTTTTAACCCTTTCATCTTCTTTATTCCTTTTATGTTTATTTATTATTTATTAATAATATATTATTTGCCCCCAAGATCAATGGTCAAGATCCGTCACTAGATGGAATGCTTGATTTTAGTTTTTAGATTTAAAAGTGAATACATAAGAGTGAAAGTTTGCATCCACAAATGTAGAAGAATAGAAGCGCATGTGTGAGAAGATGAAGAACAAAGTACAAAAATTAGAAACAAGAGATTAAAAATAAAAATGGTTAAGAAGACTTAGAATAAGATCTAAGATTATTACTTAAGAGTCACCACTTAATCTAATATATGGAATATAAGATTTAAGAAAGAGAAAAATCAAGCTCTTAAAACTCATAAATTCTATTATTAATAATCGAAAGTGAAATGTAAAAAGTGGTGGGGTAGTATGCTTGGTCGTGGGAGAGAAGATAGGAATGGAGGGAGGATTTGAATTTTATGCTCTGCATTTGGTGAATCTTACTCATGTACACATGCTTCTCACATTAACATGTGCTAAAGGTGTTGAATGTGACTTACATGTGTATCCCTCTCACGGGCTTCGTATGTGGCCCAATTCTCTTTTTTATGTCATGGATGATCACGTAATAGCATAGATAAAAACCCAAAGATCGAGGCCTAAGCCCAAATGGTATAAGCCCACTGATGAAAATTATAACGAAGAAAAATCTAGAAAAATACAAAATAATGAAAATTCATGTACTTATCATCCTTCTTAGGTGGTAGAGAATTCATCTATGAATTGCTAACACTTGTAATAAAAGAAGTTAAATCACTCACATTAAAAGATAAACTCACAATATAATTAGATAGGAAGAAGATCTTACTCATAGACATTATTATTAATACTCTTAATGACTTTAAAGGAATCATCGTCACTCTAAGAATAAAAGTTTAGACTTCCTCTCACTACGAAATCTATTTTTTCTTAAGTGAAATTAAACTCAATCCTTAGGTTTAAAAATAAACTTTTTTACTTTATAGAGTATTTCAAAAGTGACTTATAAACTTTAATCTCTATCCGATAATATATTTCAAAGTAGCTCATATATTCTTACTGTTTCTTTAATAAAGAGATTGGCCATATTGCATGTCTCATATATTTATGGTAAGGAATAAAAGGTGTAAATTTAGAGAATATATAAATTACGACAAATATAAAATTTATTCTACTTTTTGTTCTTGAAAATACTAAGATGAAGTGCATAGAGATATTGATCCTTTTAGACTCGGACAATCAAACTATCTCAAGTCATACATTAGATGAAAACTTTATCAATAATAACACATATTTTGTACACATATTTTTAACTTTATTATATATTGAATGTATTTTTCATATCCTCTATTGTCAATTCTAATTTCTTTTTCATTCAATAGTAATAAATTGGGTTCAATGTACATAAATATTCTAATTTTGGATTTTCAACTCATATGACCTTTGTTCACTCTTTTGGTCATAACTTTTTATGTAGATATTATTTTTTGTTGATTCAAGTTGCATTGAATTTTAAATTTCTAGGGTTTTCAAATGAATATGTGGTTTGCTATATTTTAAGTTTTCTACTATTTTCTATGATTTTTAAAAGTTGAGATAGATTTGTTAAATTTTGTAAAGAACATGTGCAAACCAGATTTTCTTTGTATTAACTTAACTTTTGTAATTAAGCTTGTGAACCTAACTAGATCTCATATTTAGGTTCATGTTTACTTCAGATTTGAAAATCTTTAAATAAATAAAATGTGGTCTAAACTCATCCATAAATTATTTTATCATATTTTTAGTTTAGGAAGTATCTCTTTTCTATTTTCTCTCTTATTTTCGTTTTAACTTTTCTTATCCTCTTCTTTTGTTCTTCGAATTGTTCTTTTATTCTTCATCTATGAGAACTAAATCTTGAGGATCAATGCATGGAATCAAGATCAAAAAATCGAATTGAGTTTTACACTTATCATTTTTCGCTCCAAGTTTGTTCTTCTCTTCTCTCATTTCGATTTTGCATTTTGTGATTATGATTTTAGAAATCAAATTAAGAATCAGTTGAATCTTAATTTGATAGTTAAATTATTAGATTGAATGATACTTTAGTTTAATTCATTTAACCGATTTAGTTTATTAATTGAATCGGTTAATTGTTTAAACTTGAATTGAAATCTTTATAGAACTATGGTAAGAAGATTGATTTATTGTTTAAATCGTGGATTAATCTATTTCTATCTTTTTTATTTTTTTTACTATTTTCTGTTTCAATTAAATTTTACATCTCTAAATCCCTACAACCCTAAATCTAATTTGTAAAAAAAAAAAACTAAAAATTGAACACATTTCAATATGAGCCTTTGAGAACAATGACCTAAGTTTGTGCTCTATTTTAGAAAATCTTTAGATAAACTTAAAACCTTTGATTTTATGAACTATAGTGAAAACCAATCCACAATTTTGATGATAATAAATATAATTAATTTTTGGGTATTCAATATGTGTGTTAAGAACAAATGTTAGAATCATACAAAACTTGTCTACATTATGTTATCTGATTGTTAACGAACTAGTTATTTAATGTGTTAGTATCAAACCAACTAGTAGTGTCTGTCTTGTTTAATGGTCATTAAATTGGCTAATAATTAATATGTCAATTTATGATCATCCGACCAACTTGTCATGAAGTTCTTCCGATGAAACTCCAAATTGACCTTACCACAAAGAACATATAAGACTTATTACATGTCATTAGTTTGTTTGATGAAGTTAGACTCAACTTACGTCACGTGTTATCAATTTCGTATGGTGAAGTATAATTGGACTCTACTACATGTCATGAGCTTGACTGATGAAATTAGACTTGACTAACTACATCTTATCAACCTTTAATTATTTATAATTTGTTGAATAATGAACAAAAATCTAATTTGAGATTCTTTTACCGTAATTATTTCTAATTTATTGAATTATTTCCAAGTAGTTTTAGGTGATAATGATTCTATTCCCATAATTATTTATAATTTGTTGAATGGGAACACAAATCTAAGTTAATTCATGTAATTAAAAGAAAAAAAAAGCTAAAGAATGGAATTTATATGTGTTTCTGGTGAAAATTTGATCGATTTCGAT